GATGTCTTCTTTGAGATAACCGGGAAACAAAAAAGTTTAGAAGAGAGTTCTTGAGAGGAGAGTAGAGGGCATTTATACCAGTGGTTTTTCCCAGTTAAGTGGAAGATAAAGTCTCCTGAAAGTGACGAAGTATAAGGATACAGTTGGGAGCTTTAAAGAGTACAGCTGTTTTTAAATGGGAAATGGTGTTGATTAGAAATAAGCAAAAATGTAACAAGCTTTTTGATTGCAGCTAAGTTTTTTTTGAAATTTATTTATAATGGAGTCAGTTGTCATGTTTTTATTAGGAACTTGAGGATAGGGTCGGGAGGAATTAAGGATGTTGGTAAGAGTATAGTCGAAATAATGGACAGTTCTCAGTCCCAATTGTCTAAGAAAGTAAGATAAAGCAGTTGGTGCATGATTTATTTGGAGGACAAGAAGAAGCTTCAGATTGTGCTGAAGGTGAAGAAAAGCCTGGTAAGAGATATAAAAAGATGAAAAGTATGGTCAGAGAGAGAAAGTTCTTCTACTAATATGGTAAGTGGTAAATTAAAGAGAAACTTATTTTGAAGAAAATAATAAATCAAAGTTTAAGAAGGTAAAATCCCAAGGCAATTGGATGCAATCAAATAGAGCAACTCGGCTTTAACAGGACATCATGAAGGGTCCACCATGGTATGGATATAGTAGTAGACTATATAAATCACATGTAAAATATCTCATGGAACTGAGGATAGCAGTAAATCCTAAAGATAAAACAGAAAGAGTAAAGGCAAGACTGAGAGTAAAAGAGAAGGGAAATAGATTCAGGTGTCCACAAGAGGCTGAAAATCCTATCAGCTGTCATTGTTATTCTAGCCACCATTTCAACTTCTTTCCTACTTTTACCCTCTTCTCTGTTCTCATTAAAAAAAAAAAAAATCAAAGAGTTATCCTGATTTCTATATGATAAATTTTCTTGTACTCACCAGAATTTTCAATATATGAGAGTTTGATATGTAGAACATCAAATCTTTTTAAACTATAGCTCTGAATTGCAAAAGAAGAAAACATTTTTCAAGAAAAGTGTTTCTGCCCTAATTTAACCTGACTACTGATTTTTAATGTAAGTAATTTGGGCTGTTCCATTTTCTTTTCTTTTAAGTGAATTTGGAATTATTGGAGCTAATCCTACCTTTTAAAATGTTAATATGATAATTTAAATCTTTAGTCTCATAATTTACCTAAGTATTACATTATTTTAATTAGTTCACTTTTAAAAACTCTGTGTGTTTCTTTCCTTTCTTTCTCTCTCTCTCTCTCACTGTCTCTCTTTCTGTCTCTCCCTTTTCTCACTCTTGTCACCCAGTCTGGAGTACCCTGGCACCATCATATCTCATTGTAATCTGGAACTCCTGGCCTCAAGTGATTCTCCCATCTTGACCTCCCAAAGCACTGAGATTACAGGAATGAGCTGCCACACCCTGCCAGCTTTAAATTCTTGAACTGTGAAATTTCCCTTTCAAATCAGTTTGACTTTATGACACTCATATCCTATATATATACTCAGCAAGTATATATTGAATGCCTATTATATTTTGAACTTCAATATTCCCTTTTAACTACTCTACATGCCCTTGTCCCTTATCTTAACCACTGGTTCTTTGATACTCTACCCTGCAAATTACTGTATTACTACCCAGATTTTTACCTTGTTTGCTTTCCTATGTGTCATAGACCTCACAGTAGATAATTTCACTTGCACTTTAACCAGCACCTTTAATTCTTTTGTTGCTTTAACTTCTTCACTTATATATATATTATATATATATTCTTAACACTGTTTAGTGCTGTCTCCTGTCTTTAAGCTAGCTCTTCATTTGGCTTCTGCAGCATTACTCTGACGTGGTTTATCTTATCTCTGACTTCTATTTCTCAGGCTCTTTTACTTTTCCTCTGACTTAATTCATTATTATTATCTCATTTTGCAGTTAAATATTTATTGATATTTACTCACATATTTGTACTTTCCATTGTTTTCTAGTCCATTCTGCTTTTGTCTAGAGCCTCCATTTAATATTTCATTTAGTACAGGTCTGCTGGTGATGAAGTCTCTGTTTTTGTCTGTTGATTTATAACATCTTTATTTTGTTTTTCATTTTGGAAGGGTGTTTTTGCTAGACATAGAATTGTAGGTTGGCAGTTATTTTCCTTTGGCACATTAAAAACTCAAGGCTGGAGTCAATATCTAGTCCATTCTTGCTCTCAGGGTGTTTTGAGTGCTTAGAATGTTTATAGGGACTTCCCCACTGACAGGTCCTGAACTATAATCCTTGTCTCCTCATCATTGCAAAACTTCCAAAAACTCCATTTATAGGTAATTATAAGCATTTTGATTTTTATTATGTGTGAGACGGGAAGCCGCTAGAGAGTTTGACCAGAGGAGTGCTGCACAAAAGGATTTTTCTGTCTGCTGTGGTAAGAATAGACTGTTAAGAAAGCAAAGAGGAGTCTGGGAAGACCAGTTAAGAGGCTATTGTAAAAAAGCAAGCAAGAGGTGAAGGTGGCATATAATTTCTTGTCTAGCTATTAAAATAACTGCCAAATTGCCTCAAATATTGATCTTAAACTATCATAGCCAATGATGTTACTCCTCGGTTAAAACCCTTCAGAGATTCCCCATTATATCTTCAGGTAAAAATTCAAATTCCTTAACAAAGGATAAAAGATTATATTCATGCTCTGGTCCCTACCCCCTTTAAAGTGTCTTCTCTTATTCTACCTCTTTCCTTTAGCCAGTCTTATCTACTTGAAGCCTAAAGTCTCTCTAGGTTTTAAAGCTCCCATAAGCCTCCAGGCATTGACCTGTGTTTTGCTTCTGCTTGGGCCGTCTTTCTCATCAACCTTCTTCTATTGTCTGATTATTGACTCTAAGTTATCTCTAGAGATTCAGCTTAACAATTATCTTCTGGAGGCCAGGCATGGTGGCTCATGCCTGTTAATTCCAGCACTTTGGGATGTCAAGGTGGGCAGATTGCTTGAACCCAGGAGCTCCAAATCAGACTGAGCAACATAGCAAGACCCCGTCTCTTGAAAAGAGAATTATTTTCTCTCTGAAGAGTTTCTAGAATTATTTCCTTCCCTATTCCAATACCTAAGTGAATCTTTTCTGGGGATTTGGAAAATTTAATAAATGTTTATGGCATCTACTGTCTGCCAAGAACAGTTTTAGGAATTGGAGATACACTGGTGGATAAGCTACAGTCTTTACTCTCAAGGATCCCAATCTAGAGGAGAAGACACCCAAATACGTAACTGCATTATAGAGTGACAGGCATAGCAGCAGAAAGTGTGATTGTTGGGGAAGAATGTGAGTGAAAGCTTCCTAGAGGAGGAGAAATCCATGTTGGTTTTAAACACTAAATTAGTTCATCAAGCAGACAACATATGTGGGGTAGTGTAGACATCCAAGATGGAAGGAACAATATGTGCAATGGTATGAAATGGCAAAACAGCAAGACTTAGGGAAATTACAGAAAATTTGTATTTGAATGTAAAATTTGAAAGATAATTAATGGGAGATGAGCTTAAAAGAATCATTGACGATTTTATTTATAATACATACCTCTATTATAGCACTTATCATACTGTATTATAACCATTGATATTCATCTCCATGTCACCACCAAATTGGCTTCTTCAGAACAGGCATTGACTCTTGTTCATTAATCTTTGCATACATAGCACCTAGCCAAGTGTCTAAGATGCAGTGGATGCAGTACTTGGTAAATGCTTATGTTATTAACATGGATCCTTTAAGACTTTTAAAATATTATTTTAAATAAGACCATTACTTGCTGTTTGGTACAAGTTTATATCTGTGTCTGTCTGTTCTGAGTCTAGATGTTATCAGGTTCAAATTCTAAGTATGTGAAATAAAATTGACAAAAAGTACAAATTAATTTGAGATTCTTAATAAAACTCTATTTAAAATGTTCAGGTTATAACATATCCAGTATGCAAACATTTTTTAAACAAAATGGTATTACATTGCTTCTCAGATATAAGTAACTATTGAGAGACAAGACAATTAGTAGAATGGAACAGATCTTTGTGGCAGGTTTGCTGGAGGTTCTATATATATCTTTCCATTCACTCTTTTTTTTTTTTTTTTTGAGATAGAATCTCACTTTGTCACCCAGGCTGGAGTATAGTGGCATGATCTCAGTCTCGGCTCACTGCAACCTTTGCCGCCCATGTTCAAATGATTCTCCTGTCTCAACCTTCTGAGTAGCTGGGATTACAGGTGTGCACCACCACGCTTGGCTAATTTTTATATTTTTAGTAGAGATGGGAGTTTCACCATATTGGCCAGGCTGGTCTTGAACTCCTGACCTCAAGTAATCCACTGGCCTTGGCCTCCCAATTTTCTGGGAGTACAGGCATGAGCCAATGTACCCGGCCTCCATTTACTCTTATTTTTTTCCTGTATTTTTTTCACAGCATTGGATACCAGGTGGAGAGACTTAATGCTGTAAAGGGATAATTAGCAAGAGTCTTAAGAACTCTGCAGCTTAATTTTGTAGGGCAGGTAGTCTGTTCAGTCTCTAGACTAGAAGACTAATAGCCAGCTTTTCAGTCCTGGTGTATTCTTGCCTCTTGTTTCCAAAAAAAGTATTTCAGACCACTTTGGAATCTAACACAAATGTGTTAGAAATGTTGTGAACATAAAGGAAAAAAAGAGGCACATAAACTCAAATTTACCATAAAAATATTTAATGCTTCCTCAGATTTTTGTCATCTGAGAAAAATTGCCTAATTGACTAATTACTGGTAAAGAAACTGGAAAACAAAAGGAAAAACAAAGTCTTTCATATAGATGCATTGCTTCATGTTAAGTAGTTTTACCCATATTTTCAAGAAAAATATCACATGGGCTTATTTGCCTTCTCTTAGTTTTTAAAAAATTCCTATGCTGAGGTGTCTGCTAACCATGGTGGCTTCTCCTGACATCCTCTCCCTTCTTGCCTCTTCTTCAGTATCTTTTTGCCACATATGTTGCTCCTTCTGCCACCCTTGACATTGGACTCCAACAGGAAAAGAAAAAAGAAATTTATATGAAAATACAGCCACCATTTGAAGACCTTTTTGACACAGCAGAGGAATATATCCTTCTCCTCCTTCTTGAGCCATGGACAAAGATGGTAAAATCAGACCAAACTGCTTATAAAAAGGTACTGTGCCACTGATAAATTGAATGCAAAACCACTGAGGTTTACTGCAAAAAAATCATCAGGTTTACTGCTGACGATAAGCAGCATTGTTAGCTCACAAGAGAAAAACTGAAACAGGTCTCACGTGGACCAAAGATTTAGAATTAAGATGTGGCTAGCCTCAAAATTTGGGCAGGGAAATATTTATCCACTTGATTTTTTTTGCCAGTTTTCCTATTGTCACCTAACGAAAGACTTTACGTCATTTTTTGCTCTCTGTACAAATATGTCAGAGTAGAGAAATCTGAGTTTTGGTTTCCTGTGAATAAGTAAATATGCCCTTCTTGCTATTTTTCAGCAGTAGCCTTAATTTTGATTAACAGAAAAGCCTATTTCATTTTCTGTTAGATGAGTTTCCGTAAATATTACACCCATAGAAAACATAAACATTTCCTATGTATTGTGGAGATCCTCTGACTTCACTGCTTCTGCTTTAAAGACCAGATGTTCATCAGGTCAGACTGCTTGACTGGACAGAAGTTTCAACACATCTTTTGTCATCCTGAAAGAGGTCATTTTAAGCCTCAGTGCTTGAATATTTTCACTATATTTACTAAAAGGTGGAGGCAATTTATTTAAATATTTATTTTGAATCACAAATTAAAACCATCTATGTATACTTTTTATATTAAATTAACACATGTACTGTGTACCAAAGGCCATTTCACATGGAACTCTGCTGTCTTTGCATTGCTATTCTTTGTTCATATCTCCTCAGCAATTTCTTAGACCGACATATAAAATTAATACCAAAACATCTTGGATAGAGTTACCTTATTGGATTGTGGCTGAAACAACTGTTGTGATTTACTAAGTTCAATGACCAAAATAATTAGATTTCTCTTTGTCCTGAAAAATTAGCATAGCATCCTTTTTACTATAAAAATGCATACAGGACAGTAGGAAAATTTGGAAATCTGATGAAGTTTTAAAAAATTCTCTCCAGTCATTATTTTAAATACAGAGTATGCCATAGAGGATGCAATTTTTTTTTTTAAAGATTTGGAATTATAACTAACTTCCCTAAACCAAAAAGTTTTGGCATTAGTCATGATTCTTATAAAATGCATGGAACAAATTGTGCAGTTTTTAATAGGAGGAAAAATAAATCTCTCTTAGTTCTAGAAACTTCCTTCTAGAACTATGAGGACTTCTCTAAAAGCCCAGCTGACTGTATTCTGCAGACACTTTCCCAAAAAGAATAATCCAGCAGACTACCAAAGCTAACTATTAAATACAGAAAGTTCTCAGGCAGCTCTTCAGCTAAGCTGGTTTTTCCCTGCAATAGAGAAACAGAGAATGGTCTCGTTCTCCTGACTACATGAAACAGTGCATTACAAACTCTGAAGACAGAGACCTGATATGAGGTTTCATTTGATGATTGACTGTCTCCTCTCCTACTACAGCTTTAAAGCCTTTGCTCACATGCTGATAACAATATGGAGTCCGGTCATTTCTTGTTCTGTGAATTATTTGGTTCCGAAAGCTAGTGGCATCTGCTTTCACGACTATTACCCTGTTATATTGAACAGAAATTGTAAATATGACCAATATATTTGTATTGATTGTAAGTTTGCATGGGGTGTCCAGAAAGGAGGAATGATCTTTGGTGGCACTATATCATTACATAGAAATGTACGCATTTTTTATTGTATCCTTTTGAAGTGTGACCCTGCTGTAGCTAATCTTTTGAACTATGTTATCTTCCTGCTTTTGCCTTGAAAATAATTTGCTTTATTGGCAACTGTATTTGTTTTTCAGCCCACTGTTACTAGCAAATTGTACATTCTATTGATGTTACAAGCTTTATTTTTTTTAGGTGGAGCTGGTGGAAGAAACTCGACAGTTAGACTCCACATACTTCAGAAAGCTACAGGCTTTGCATAAAGAGACATTTTCCAAGAAAGCTGAGGTAAGGCAACTTTCTACTTAGAAAAACAAACTTTTTATCCTGGAGAGGGTTACCACTTGATGTATTGGGCAGGGGGGGATTGTAAATTGAGGATATCATATATTACAGAGTAAGGGACAGGCAGTTTCATTTTTTTGCTGTTCCGTTGCCTAGCGTGCTGCATTTGACAGGTGTTGCATTTTATTGACATGTTTGCCAAGGGAGCCAGAAAAACCAAGCAGATGAGGTAGCACAGGAAGCCAAGCCACTCATTTGCCTTGGCTAAGACCAGACATTTGAGCCTTCACCTGTGTTACAGCTATTTTGAAGGTTATCAGTTATTTTCTGTATGGCAGCTGCTCTTTCTATTTGTTGTCAGGTTACAAAAGGTTAAATTGAGTTTTCTAAACAGAAAAGAAACTGTTGTGTGACAGCAATAGGGAAAACAATAAAGAAAAAAATATGGAAAGGAATTGAGGAAGGCAGTAAAGAGATCCTAGGACTGACTAGGATATTAAACTATTATTTTGATTCATAAAATTGCATCTTTTGGATTGGCTAAGTAAACATAATAAATCCATAAAGCTATAAAATTAAATGTGTACATCTACATAAAAATGAGTTAATTAACCTGGAAAATGTTTAAGATATATTAAGATTTTTGAAACAGAAACACTGGTATGGTATGATCCTGTTTATGGAAAATTATGTATGTATTTCTGCATGTATTCAAATGTATAAAAAGAAATATCTGAAAAGATATTCACCAAAATATTAAAGGTAGTTAACTCTGAGTGGTAAGGTTTCAGGTGATTTTTTAAAACCTTCTTTGTACCTATCTGAAATTTTTATTCTTATCCAGAAGTTCTCTATTTGATATACTACTACTATCTTGCAAAGAACACATAAAAATCCATAAAGGTAGCATGATATAAGCTATTGTAAACTCTACAAACCTAACTTTATAACACTATCCACAATCCTTCTACATAAGGAAAATTAATTTTTAAAACATCGGTAGCTTATCTCACGGACACTACAAAAACAAATGGGGAGGTGAATTAGTTATGTAAGGAATTATATAAGGAAGGGCCTTTTAAAGAATAAGACTCTTTTCCTCTTTGCCCTTTAGGGCTTGTAAACTATTCACAAAACATCAGAGGTCATAAAATTACCTAAAAATTAACTTTATGTGAAGGTGATATTTATATTATTATATCATATTATATTACATTTGAAGGATGCATTATTAGATAAGTAACTTGTATTATTCTATAATTTTTGAAAATTATATTATAAAATAATGTCTTATGTTTATGATATACTGTTAAGAAAAAGAACCAGGTCACAAAACTATAAATAGGTACATAATCCTATCTTCATATTTTAAAACTACATTTGATATTATAGTTGTAAATCTCTTTATAAATTCAATCTGTTGAACTATGCAACCATCATAGTATCTAATCTTCGGGTTTTTTAAAATTTATTTTTAATTTTTATACTTTTCTTCATTTTTTTTATAAGCTACATGTACATATACAAAGAAGACTGGAAGGATATATTTTTAAAATGTTAATAGTGGTTATGTTTGAATGGTAGTATTATGTATGATTTTTGTTTTCTTATTACAAAAGACATGTTACTTCTATACTTAGAAAAATATAATAAAGTTAATATTTTGCAAGCAAGTGCTTTGTATAGTGAATATTTACTAAATATTTATGAAAAGAAGGGAATGGAATGAAAACAAACAGAAAGAATTAGATATGTTAGGATCTGAACCACATAAAATCTTAACCCACTTCTGCCATTGAATTGTTAAATGGCCTTAGCCTAATGGTTAATTTTTCTTTCAGTTTCTCTATTTAAAATTATAAAAAATTTGTTGTGTTTAAGAGACTTTTTTCTGAAAAGTATTATTTCACTAGGACACCAGTTGTGAAATTGGAACTGGCATTTTGTCACTCTCTAACGTCTCTAAACGAACAGAGTGTTGGGATAATGTTCCTGCAGAATACAAGCATTTTAAGTTTAGTGATCTGCTTAACAACAAACTGGAGTTTGAACATTTCCGTCAGTTTCTTGAGAATCATTCTTCAAGGTGAGGGATGTAACCATGTATTTCTTGGTGAAAATATTTTTCTAAGTTACTAGTTTCGATTCAACATATTATAATGGTGATTTGGTGCTATAACAGATTTTACCTATGTCAATAAAAACTGGCAAATATGATTATCTGAAATCCGTATGGGTAACTTTTTAAAGTTGGAGTACATTTTAATTGTAGCAACTTCCAAATTGTCATTTTAAGTGGTTACACAATGTTAATTCTTTTAGCATTGGCTAACTTAAACCACCACTGTGCTTTATTTTTTCTCTTTTATACTGTTTCTTTCTTTTACATTTCTCTAGACTGGTATTTTAATTACTATTTCTGGAATGTGTACTTTTTATATTTCATTGAGATATTGAAATTATAGTATTTTATAATATTTATTAACTGATATATAAGTGAAACATTGTAGTTTTACCTAGAATATTGGAACCTTATAACATGCTTATCTACTATAAACTAAAGTGTTGAATATATTTTTCTTCTAGTAATTCTCTCCCTAGTTAACAGCAACTGGTTAGATCTTGGAGCCAAATTTCACTGTATGTAGTTTCTCTTCATTGTAAAGAGAATTTTTATATCTATTTTTTATTTGTTAATTTCTTACATTTTTGTGGCTACATAGTAGGTGTATATATTTATGGGGTACATGAGATGTTTGGATACAAGCATGCAGTGTGAAATAAGCACATCATGGAGAATGGTGTATCCATCTCCTCAAGCATTTATCCTTGGAGTTACAAATAATCCAATTATACTTTATTTTAAAATGGACAATTAAGTTATGATTGACTAGTCATCCTATTGTGCTATCAAACTGTAGGTGTTATTCGTTCATTCATTCTTCTTCTTCTTTTTTGAGACATGGTCTCACTGTGCTGCCCAGGCTGAAGTGGCATGATCCCAGCTCACTGCAGCCTCTGTCTCACGGGTTCAAGTGATTCTTATGCCTCAGCCTCCCCAGTAACTGGGATTACAGGCATGCACCACCATGCCCAGCTAATTTTTGTATTTTTAGTAGAGATGAGATTTTGCCATGCTGACAGGGCTGGTGTCAAACTCCTGACCTCCTGTCTGCCCACCTTGGCCTCCCAAAGTGCTGGGATTATAGGCATGAGCCACCGTGCCTGGTCCTTATTCAATTTTTTTGTACCCATTAAGATGAGGATTATTCTAAATTTGGCCTTTTGTCAAATGACATGAGATTTGTGGGAATTTTCTCATTTTTTTTTTTGAAATTGATGAAATTAATGAAAAAACTCTGAGATCCCACCAATATGGTGATAGATGGTTTTTTTTTTTTTGCTCATCCCAATACTCCTTTGTAATCATTCATATATTTAGCCAGGATTAGGAGTATAATAGAGTCAACCTAACTGGCCTAGAAAGGGATCAGAGGTACAATATTGGGTTCATTATTTGCATGATCTAATGCAACTAGTCAAGATAGCCACTTTCCAAGTTCCATCAAAACAACAGTCTGGTCTTTAGTAGAATTTAGAGAAATAAATGTGAAGAGCTAGACATTGTTTTTGTTTTCATTTTAGCATGGATCTTATGTGCTGGACAGATATTGAGCAGTTCCGGGCAATAACTTACAGAGATCGAAATCAAAGGGAGGCAAAAGCTATATACATTAAAAACAAATACCTTAATAAAAAATATTTCTTTGGACCCAACAGTCCAGCGTCTCTGTATCAGCAGAACCAGGTATCGGCATGAAAACCTATTTTTTATATTGATGTTTGAAAACCTGTATTTTATTTCTGTTTTTTTCAACAACCTGAAAGTCTCTTATTTTCTTTTCTTTTCTTTTGTGTATGACTAATGTCTTAGAGACCTTTGATATTTATTTAGGTATTTATGAGGATCTATAAATTAAATGTCTTTAATACTCAGAAATTATATATTATAAAGATATGTTACTCTAAAAATTAGTTTATAGAATAACTTTTGTTCATCTACTCATTGACTCATTCAACAAATATGAGTGCCTTCGCTATGCCAGACTGTTCTAGGTGCTCATGATAAAGTGGTGAAGAAGTTGGACAAGCTCCCTCCACCTGTCAACATGTAGGAAAACAGCCGTTATCAACCATCAAGCCAAATATCTACCACCTTTCTGTTCTTCTCTGAACTGATATTACTCCAAATATAATTGATCTTTGAAAATCCTCTATATTATGGAACCTAGAGCAAATATTATAAAAGAAAAAAAAAAGAAAATCATCCTTACAATTGTATTTTTCCCAGATACTATTTTTATTGACCAGGACATATTTGAGCATTTTGTTGGACGAAAGTCCTATGGCCTTAATCACAATCTATTAATAACCAAATAACTAACTATCATTACACTGACAGCAAGAATGTAAGATTGGGCTGGGTGCAGTGGCTCACACCTGTAATCCCAGCACTTTGGGAGGCCAAGGCAGGTGGACTGTTTGAAGTCAGGAGTTTGAGACCAGCCTGGCCAACATGGCGAAACTCTGTCTCTCCTAAACATACAAAAATTAGCCAGGTGTGGTGGCACACACCTGTAATTCCAGCTACTCAGGAGGCTGAAGCAGGAGAATCCCTTAAATCCAGGAGGCAGAGGCTGCAGTGAGTGGAGATTGCAACCCTGCACTGCAGCCTGGACAACAGAGTGAGACTCTGTCTCAAAAATAAATATATATGTAAAATTGGAATTCATAAGTAGGTTTGTGTTCATGTAACACTGCTCATGAAATACGATTCAATTTTTATATTTTTGAAATTTAAAGAATTATTATAATTTAGCTTGAAGTTTGTTAGTGCTACATTAATACCTAAAGGTGTAATGTATGGCTTATGATTTTTTTTTCTTTGGTAGTTTACAAGAATGCATATTCTAATGGTATATATTAATAAAATACAAATTTCAGATTAATGTTAAATTCAGTAAATTAAAGAAAAATTTAGAGAGGTTCACAAGTAGTGCATACTAAATTTAAAAACTAGGCCTTTGGGGTGCAGGAGAAATTGGCAAAAATCTTTGGGAACAAGAGGGAGCAGGAATTCTAGAATTAAGCAACTTTGACAAAAACGCTTTGTCCTTAGTTCCCTGGGATACTAATCTGGGACACATTAGCAAAAGTGGTTGGGTGTCTCAATAAGGACAAGTATGAAATAAACACATGGAAAGCATTTGTTTTCTATTTGGCATGTACTACATTGCGTGAGGTTTCATGGTATCTGATGCTACTGTGTGAATCCTCCGTAGTACACACAACATACTGAGAATCTAAGTCAGTGAAAGTCACCCCTTGCTATCATAGCAAATGGATGTGCTTACTACAGAGGAGTTTTCCCAATGATCCTTCTTTGTGCTTGTCATTACTTTTAAAATGTATTTTATACTTAAGGATGTCTACATAACATTGTCTTATAAAGATTGTGCTAGTTCAGATTTTGGTTGTGCGACCAATTTGCTCTTTGATTAGCAAAATAGTCTTTCTTTCTTTCTTTCTTTTTTGTTTTTAGGCAGAAACAATCATAGTGTTGATATTATTTAATTATTAAAGGAGGACTCAATATAATTTCCTTTTTTTGTTTTTATATAAAACAATAGTATTAGTAGTGTTATCATATTAATATTATTGCTCAAAGGAGAACTAAGAAGAGGGCAGTTGTTCCACTGAGCAATCCAAAAATTTTCAGTGGTATGTACACAGAAACAGGTAGAAACCAGAGTGAGTTATGGCAGGAAAAACCCATTAGTAGCTTGTTGAAGCCAGTAATTAAACAGAAGGAAAATTTAGATCACAAAGAAGTTGTGTTTTACAAATGGTACTTATTGTCTATAAAACATGACTTCTCTGTTTCCTGCTGCCTTCTCTGCTGCCTTCTCTGTTTTCTGCTTCACGGTTGTTGGAACAGCCCTGTGTTGCCACCACTACAACTGCACTGTTCTGGGTGCATAGTGCACGACAGCTACCATCACGCTGTTTCCAACCCAACATTTGTTGGTAATATACATATTATAATATCTGAGTCAAGGTTGTCTTTTCACTAATTAACACATTTTCCTCATCCACAGAAGAAAATTATTAAATGGATCAATTTGACTATAATCATAGATTCACAGGATATTAGAAAACTAATAGACTAATGTCTTCATTTTTTGGTTGGAGATACTGAGTCCGTGGAGAAAAAAAAAATGCCATTGCTGTGGTCACACAGGATAAAAATCCCACTTCTGTGTTCTTTTTGACATATCATAAGTAAGCAGAAATCACACATCTAACACAACCACCACATAAACCACAATTGTCTGTCTGATTTTAGGGGAGTTACTGTGTACAGTATTGTGTGATTACTCAGTATAGCATGGATATGTTATACGGAAAATGAAAATTGGCACCTCTCAGAGTGCAGCAAATGATTTTATAGTGAGTAAATGAATTAATGGATATTAGTGTTTCTTTTAAAAAGCACAAGTTTGAAGTTTCTGTTTTCATTTTAATTTTCTTAGGTAATGCATTTCAGTGGTGGCTGGGGTAAGCTTCTCCATGAGCAGCTTGATGCACCTGTCCTAGTTGAAATCCAGAAGCACGTCCAAAATAGGCTAGAAAATGTATGGCTGCCATTGTTTCTTGCAAGTGAACAGTTTGCAGCACGTCAAAAGATAAAGGTATATAAATTAGTATAATCTTTGGATAGCAGTTGTCAGTACCTACTGAAACTTCAAATGTGTATACCTGGTGACCCCAGCCATTGTACTTCTTCTTCTTCTTCTTTTTTTTTTTTTTTAAGGAATGCGTTCTCTCTGTCACCCAGGCTGAAGTGCAGTGGTATGATCCTAGCTCACTGCAGCCTCAAACTCCTGTGCTCAAGCAATCCTCCCACCTCAGCCTCTCAAGTAACCAAGACTACAGGCATGCACTACCATGCCTAGCTAATTAAAAAAATTTTTTTTTGAAGAGATAGAATCTTGCTACGTGCCCAGGCAGGTGTCAGACTCCTAAGATCAAGCAGTACTCCTGCCTTGGCCTCCCAAAGTGCTGGGATTATAGGTGTGAGCCACCATGCCAGGCCTTAGTCATTGTACTTCTGTTGAGAGTGGTTTAAAGTATGGAGTCAGCCAAGTGTGATGGCATGCACTTATAGTCCCAGCTACTTGGAAGGCTGAAGCAGGAGGATCGCTTGAGTCTAGGAAATTGAGGCTACAGTGAACTATGATTACATCACTGCACTCCAGCCTGGGTGACAGAGTGAAACCCTGTCTCTAAAATAATAATAATAATTTTTGTTAAAAAAGCATGGAGTCAAACTTTCCAAGTTACTGGTTTTTTGTTTGTTTTAGAGACAGGGGTCTCCCTGTTGTCCCAGTATCCAAACTAGAGTGCAGTAGCTATTCACAGGCACGAACATAGTGCGCTACAGCTTTGAACCACTGGGGCTCAATCAGTCTTACTGCCTCAGCCTCTGAGTTGCTGGGACTAGAGGCAAGTGCCCCACTGCCCAGCTCTGACCACCAAGTTTTAATCTCAACACTGCCACTTATTAGTCGTACGACCTGTAAGTTTCATAAATTGTTTCCTCATTTGAAAAATTGAGTTAGTCATAGTAATTACTTAGTAAGGTTGTTCTGAAAAATGAAGTGAAATTAACATGTGTTTGGTTTCTTAGAATAGTGCTTGGCACATGGCAAACACTCAAATGTTATCTATTAATATAGTTGTTATTTTTAATATTAAGTCCTCACACAGTGGACAAGGTTATACAAGGATATTCATTGCAATGTCAAATGGGGGAAGAATTAGATAAGTTATGACAATTCCATACTATGGAAAAATATGCAGATTTCCTTACAAAATGAGATTAAAAATAAAAATGAGATTTCCACATGTACTATATGAAAGATATTATTTATCGAACAGAACAAGCAGGATGCAGAACAATATATAGAAGATAATCCCATTAGATTTGCTTATATCTAAGTCTATGCACATCCATCTGTCCATCCATCCATTTATGTTTATGCTTATGGAAGAAAAATATGTAAAAGGATCTGCCTCTTGGGAATGGGTTTGGGGACCAAGAAGGATTTTTACTTCTTATTTTGTAAAGTGGGCTTCTCTTTGCTTTGCTTTGTCTTATTTTTATTTTATAAGAAGTATTACTTTGATAATTTAAAACATCATTAGCATACCTAAAAACAGGCAAACCCAATCTTTACAAAAATAACACAAGGGTCAGAAAACATATAATTTTGGACTTTAGTATGCAAAGCCACATGCCATTAATACTAATCAGGAAGAACCTGAAACACTCTGTGGCCTACTTATTTGGAAATATCCGTAGTCATTTGAGGTGAGCAACTTATGGAAAAAACAGTACAGCTGGGAACACAGAATTTATAGTATGGAGTTGAAGAATTGACTTTAGGCAAAACGTTCCTGGAAATAAGCTTTGGGAAAACTCAAATCTCCTCATTCCCTTTCTTCAGGCTAACTCCAACTCTCTATCCAAAGCCAAATAAAAGGACATCTGGCTTGCTAATATTATTTACCACATTTCCACATTATGTTTATCACTGTTATTTTATTGTAATGCATAGTCATTTATTAGCATTCTTTGGATGGCCAGCAAAATAAACTGATTCTGGCAACCTTGAACCAAATGCAAAAAGGAGGGGTGATAATTTATTCTAAAATGGTGCTGGGGCATTTCACGCACATAAAGAGGTGATGCCCAAGCCTTAGAAAAGATGTAGGCCAGGACAGCCCTAGGAACCCAAGAAAAATTCTCGGGTCTTTCCTTCTGGTTCTGTCTGTCAAAAAGACTTAACCCCAGTGATTCCAGTCCTTATCTAGGTCTGCTTCTGGATATATCTGCTTTGGACAGGGAGATAGAGACAGTAGCACAGATTTGTTATGAGTGGTTCCCAAGAAAGGGGAAATAATATGCGTAGGCAATAACTCCAAGAAATATCTACTACATTTCTGTGTTGAGTAACTTTTAGCACTCTTTTAAAATTAGTTGTGAAAGTATATGGCTAGGAAATGGCTAAAAAGTCTGAGAAGTCATAATTGTCTTTCCAGCTTCAGTTCCCATCTGAGCTCAAGTGAAACTATCATTATTTGGGCAATAACAATTGGGTATTGTTATCTCTGTTTTACAGATGAGAATACAGTGTTCGGAAGAATTTGGTACCTGACCACAGGGCTTCCATTTTTAAGTTTGATCCTCTCTCTCTTAAGCTTCACTATCTCTTATCCAAGTTAATCTTTATCTCATTTTTTTTTAGCTACTAAATTAGTAAATTATTTCAAACCTTTAGACATTCTGAAAAACTGGGATAAAATAATTGATTTTGCTTTCAGGTACAGATGAAAGACATAGCAGAAGAGCTGTTACTACAGAAGCCCGAAAAGAAAATCGGGGTCTGGAAGGCAAGTAATATTTGTTATATTCTTCCTCTTGTAAGTTTTCCTCTGTCAAAGTATTGTTGTTCCTTCCCTTTCTTGTTCAAAAGTCCTCACTGAAGACACACTGTTTTCTAAACTGCCGACTGAGCACTGATACTGTTTTTAATTGGTGAATGGAATTTGGAGGAAAACGTGACTCTACCAGAACTCTGTTCTTTTTTTAAAAAATTATTATTATTATTATTATCATCATCATTTTTAGGGTCTTGCTGTGTTGCCCAGGCCAGAGTACATGGCATGATCATAGCTCACTGTAACATCTAACTCCTGGGCTCAAGTGATCCTCTTGCCTTAGCCTCCTGAGTAAAGAGCTCTATTCTTAAAGAGACCCTTGACCTGCACAACCTTAGAAGTGTGTGATTGCCTTAAGTATGTATTTTTCTTCATTCTGCATGTCATGGATTTACTGAGACAAGCTGTGCATTCCAGCATATGATAGTTTATTATTAAGAGTGAGTTATGTAAAAAATGAGCAACATGTAGCAGAATCAGCAGGTTAAATCATCTTACATTTTGACATCGATCTATCTATCTATCTATCTATCTATCTATCTATCTATCTATCTATCTACCTATCTATCAACAGAGTCTCTGTTGCCCAGGCTGGAATGAAGTGGCATGATCTCAGCTCACTGCAACCTCTGCCTCCTGGGCTCAAGCAGGCCTCAGGCCTCAGCTTCCCCAGTAGTTGGGATTACGGGCACGCGCCACCACGCCTGGCTAATTTTTTGTATTTTTAATATAGATGGGGTTTTGCCGTGTTGCCCAGGCTGATCTTGAACTCCTGAGCTCAGGCAATCCACCCGTCTTGGGCTCCCAAAGTGTTAGGATTACAGGCGTAAGCCACCATGCCTGGCACATTATCCCTTCTATTTAGAATTGCATTTTAGTCATAACTGTATACTGCTCCCAGGCATCCTCACAAGGGCACTTTGCCGAGCAGGAGCACACATAAAAAATCAAATCAAATCAAAATAGAAATAAAAATAATAAAAACAAAAAGAATTACATTTTAGCTTTAAAAGAATTAGGTTAGTTATCATTTTGGTGACTTAAAACCAATACAATGTAATACCTGGCTAGAAATGGCCTATTTTGCTTTGTAACAAGCATGATAAACATAGTCTTCCTTTTGAGCTTACAAGTTTATGTGTATTTATGCTTCTGCAGGTCCTGATAAAATGTCCAACTAGACCTAGGTGACCATCTGCTAACTAACAAAGATAAATGTTTTTTGAATATTAGAGGAATACATGCATCTGTCAGTATGCGCTTTTCTGTATTTTCCCCTTGAAAAGTAATAAACGTTTTAAATGTTTGTTTTTTGCTATAATTTTGATTGAAATATTATATAGAATGAGATTATTTTTATATAATTGTGTATTACATATATTTTATTATTTTGTTTAAATTACAAGTTTTAGTTAAATTTCTAAGTTTTAGCATCTTAAGCAGATCTTAAAATATTATTTGCTGAGTGGGTTTTAAATAAACATCCCAGTCTAATATCTAGTTGTTCCAAAAATTTGTAGGGCTGTAATTTTAATATGGACCATATGGTGGGGGTCTTAACATTTTGTCCAGAGAATGTGACATGTGTCTCACTAAAATAGTGATAGACATCTATTCACCTTATCTGTGTTAATGGCACCACCATTCATCTAGACTGCCTGGAGTGGCCTTCACTTTTCAGTTTCCAACTCAGATGCTATCCTCAAGGCCCTTCTCTGAAAGGTTTTACTCCTCCAGGCAGAATTAGTTACTCCTCCTTTATGTTACCATGGCAATTTTAAAAAATATAACTCTCTAAACACTTAAAATGATGGTCACATATGATTTGTTTCAAAGAATTTATTTTATGTGTGGCTAAATCCATTTAAAACATTGTCTTTGGAATGATACTTCCTTGCATGCTTTTAAGCTAAAAATCAGCTTCGGGAACTTCATTATTAAAACCTATTTAGTGAATTCAAAATCAATTTCTTATGTTTTCAATCTGAGAGGCTAAGTGATTTTAAATAGGCAAAATAAAAAAAAAGTAGATATTTTATATCTCCAAATTGTAAAGATATAAAATAAATGTAGATAAAAATACCTTTAGGTGTTACTAAAATGCCATGGGTGCTTCTAGCTTTTATGTTATATAAAGTAAACCCACAGTCAGAGGAATTTTATCAACATAATTTATTAATGATCATTATTTATCATTTTAATCACAATTTATTAAAATAATATAAAGATGTCTCATCTAAAACTATAATATTTCCAGGATAAAATTACAGTGAAGCTCTGTAGTAAATTATTTAACTTATAGAATCAATTGATAATTTTTTATTAAAAAATGAAAAATGTATTAAATGTTCAACTACTTTTACATTTTTTTTTTTTTTTTTTTT